GTTATATGTAGTAATACAGATAGTAGTTATAAATAGGTTTCTAAAATTATGCATTTTAAGATGTCCCTATTATTTTCGAAGTTAATTTATTGTCAAATTTCGAAATTCCCAGGTTCAACCAAAGAGACCGGTATATTTTTTGTTTTTCGTGTAAATATACAAATTATGGCGTCATATTCGTCTTCCTTGGCCTTGAAAACACATATGTACTAAATATCAAGTTAATCCGATATCATTGACGAGTTCTAGGCCCATGTCCACAAAACCCATCTTTTGTCCCACTGTGCGCCGGTTCGAATTCGGTCTGTGTGGGATTGACTTTTTATTTCGTGGAGGACCCACGGAATGAAACTCGACCCTCCCACACTGGTTAGAATAGGTTTGTTTATAACTCTAGAACAACCCCCCTCCCCCGTAAGCCGAAATTGGTGAGTAGGGGAATATCCAATTAAAAAAAAGATCTGGTGTGTCCATTCACACGAATTTTCTACCTATTTCAGAAAAAAGTATATTTTTAAATATGTCTATTAAAAAAAAAAAAAAATTGAATCAGATTTATTTTCCTGAAAATTGATCAAAGAAAAGATTTGAGTACGATTTATTTGATAAAATAAAGCAATATAAAACGGTAAACCACAAGGAGCGCCCAATTTGTGTCACAGGCATCAGTAGTCAAAACCCTACAAACAAAAGAAAACAACAAAATCTGTTCACTAGTTCCCGAGAAAATCTTAGCACAGACAGACAGACAGATCAATGGCTAAAAGTGTGATTTTTGGGCTCAGAAACGAATAGATCCGTTGAAAACCGCATATCAGAAATTTTACCCAATCCCAATACTTTCCTTACCTGGTATAGATATTAAAGTAAATATCTCTTGTATTACTGCATGTTTCGTTCGTTGTGAGGTTGATACCCGACTGATGCAACAAGTGTAAAAAATAATCGTTCGTGTCAATTTACTTAACAATTTATCAAGTTGTAGATAAGTTGATATGCATGTACACTCTATTAGAATGTTATGGGATTTCCCAATTTCTGTAGTCGGTTTTTTAATTTTTTTAAAATTTGTTATTATTTTGTTTTAAAACTTTGCTCACCATCAAATGAACAGATTATTGTTATATAACAAGCAATGAAATGGTTCAATTTTAAACGTTAGTATCTATTATTAATTAAATTGCCTAAAAGGGAACAGAAAAGATTAATTTTTGATCAGGAGTTTATAAAATAACTAGATAGTTTTGTGCAAAGAAGGGTACGCTACCTCAGTATCATATGACTGCCTGTCTGTTTTTTATTGAATTTATTGAACTATGCTCGATATGATATTTACTGCTCTTTATATGCGATCATAAACGTAAAGATATATTGGAAAGTGGTTTTCCTGGGTGTAAGAATGATATCGAAGGATGGGAAATTATCGAACCTCCAGGTACTTTATGGAGGGTTTATTGGTCCGCTCGGAAATTAGGCCTATACAAATTGACTGAAAGTTACTTTTATTTTTATTTTGACGAAGGAATCCGTTTAGTACTTTACTTAATTTTTTTTTTGGAAGAGATTTAATAATAATGGCAATAGAAGTTACTCATATCCATTCGATGGTCTTCCAGCTTTTAATTATTCACTTTTAAGCAAATTAAAAGTAGATATTGAAAAATGAAACTAAGACGAGTGCTTAGACCACACGATAGAAGTGGAAACATCATCAAAGCGAGGTTTTTCTTATCACATAAGAAATATATTACAAAGACATATAAAAATATGAAATATAAATAATTCATAATAGCTCATTATTAAGAGGATCAAATGCTAAATATTTTTCTCGCTAACAATAGGGAAGTCCGATTTTTAGTGTTTGAGATATTTTAATTCATATGCAAAAAACTCTTCAATGAGGCGACTCCAGCCGACTTTTACCAAGCGTTATACATCGTAGGTCTGACGGCTAAATCTAATTCACTATCTACAAAAAAAGTGCAAAACACGCCTAAAAAAGTTTTCACTTAAAAATAAAAATTTAAACTAACAAACTTGATTTCTGTGAAAAAAGGATCCTATTTTTACCTCACCTAATCAGATCGAAAATCAACCAGAAAGTTTCAATATTAATATTTTTTTACTTTCACTTATAATATATATATATATATATATATATATATATATATATATATATATATATATATATATATATATATATATATAGAATAGAATAGAAAATAATCTTATTCTGGGACGAAGTCCCTTTAGAATAACATAAAAGTACAAAATTAAAGTATTATATCTGGCCTAAGTCAAAACAAACATAAAAAGTAAAAATGTATTTTATTATATATATATATATATATATATATATATATATATATATATATATATATATATATATATATATATATATATATATATATATATATATACACACATAGGGTGTTTCAGGATTAAGTAGCCAAACTGTAAAAATAAACTAAGGATCTCAAAACAAGAACAAAATTTCCTCTGAAGGTATGTCCGCAAACGATTTGTTTAGGAGATATTCACACCTAATGATTATCGTTGTTATGAATTATTTAGTTATCTATATAAATAAAATAAAGGTTTTGTCTTTACATTGAATAAAATCAACCCTTTTCATGATATATTTCCATTTCATACATTACAGACACAAAATCCACTTTTAAATATTTTTTTGTCTGTCTGTATGTCCGCATTGTCCAACGAAATTTTGTTGGGGGTAAGCTCAGCAATGGCTAATGGTAGACTTTTGAAATATTGACATTATATTTAGGTTTTCTTGACTTAAAACATAGGCTTTAAATGAAAACAAAATATTTTGTAGAACCAAAGTTATGAATTCTTAAGTAATTTGTCTAAAGATCCCGGTTAGGCAGTTACTTGCTTCGATTCTCATCCCAACCTACTCTATCGCGAGCCACATTTAAAAGTCGTACTATTCAACTGCTGGAAAAAATTATCACAATTCAAAGGAAAAATCCGAAATCTCGAACACCTGTAATGCGTTGTCGCTAAAACACATTCATTTTTTAACATTGTCTGATCTTCCCGTTAAAGATGTCATACGATTCAACTTCCCAAGTCTAACAAATTTTTTCCTCTACATTTTTAGGATAAACCAAACGGTTTAGCCGAAAATCATGAAAAAAAAACTCGGCCGCCACCTTATTCAAATCAAGTTCTAATTATACGCAGATGTAGTTACTCATTGTCCATTGTTAATTTGGTTATTTTGTGAGTGATAAACTCTGAGTTTAAAGAAGCGGTGGAACTACATCTCTTTTGATTACTTCAATCGATTCCATAATCTCCTCGCTTCATCATAAATGAAAATTAAATAATTTTAATGGATCGATGGTGTTCGGTTTAGTTGTGCGGCACCAAAACAAATAGCCGAATAACAAAGTTTTTATTATGACTTTTGCGAAACCTTGACTTCAATAAGCCCCGTCATAAAACATTTCAAAACAACCCTGCGTACTCAATTTTATGAAATTAAATTTGGATTTCTCCCCTCCTCCCAACAACGCAAAATCCATCTCAAAAAAAGGTTCTCAAATTGTAACTATACATCCGTCAATGACGGGTACATCAGCTAGAATGAAATAAATAAAACCTATTGATTTCTTCTAACTACTTTAAAAATTAAATGTAAACATTAACATTCATATTAAATTTAAATGTTGCTTAAAGTGATTTTCTTGAGCATTCAGACGGGCTCGACATCTTTCTTCAACAGCAGCAGTGGTAGAACGGCACTGGATATGTTTTATTCTTTCACAAGATTCAATTATCATTCTTCGTAAGGTATTAAGCTCATTGACAGGACTTGCTCAATCATATCCCATACCCCATACCCCAATCAATGGATTGGCGGTACAGCACCGGTGGCTTGGCCTACCCGCTCTCCAGACCTGACACCACTGGATTTTTTTGTTTGGGTTTAATTTTAATATTTTTTTTGGATGACATTTAATTTAAAAAAATTAAATGCAAGTTCGGTCAATGACCTACGAAGAAGGATAATTGAATCTTGTGACTAACACATATCCAGTCCTGTTTTGCTACTGCTGCTGTTGAAGAAAGTTGGCGAGGCTGTCTTAATGCTCAAGGAAATCACTTTGAACAACGTTTAATATTCATATTAATGTTTACATTTAATTAATAAAGTAGTTATAATAAATGAATAGGTTTTATTTATTTCATATGACGTAAATAATTCATAACGACGAAAATATTTAGGTATGAACAACTCAAAACAAAGCGTTTGCGGACATACCTTCAGAGGAAATTTTTTTCTTGTTTTGAGATCCTTAGTTCATTTTTACATGGTTACATAATTATTAACCCACTGCTGAAGAAACTTATAAGGCCGGAAGACTTGAAAGTGAAAACTAAAATTACATTACCAGTCAACAATGTATGATTCATATAAGTATAAGGAAATTGGTATGTCTGAAGAAATAGGTATTAGTCGGTTGAGTCTGGATAATTTTAGAGAAGGCTTCTGCACACATGAATCAAGAAATATATATTGAACAAGTTACAGAGTAATTCATTTATACGTTTAATGTTTTATAGTTCATAGCTATAATTTCGGGTAATTGCTTTTTCCAGGATGGAATGTTTGTCTCTACGAGATTTTTTTCGTATCATTCTACTTTCCATGTATTCTATCAATATAACTATGAATATAGAGTTAATACAGTCAAATTACCAGGAGGATCACGGGGTACTATTGCCCGTTGTATGTCTTATGTCATTGCCATTATGAAATTTACTGACTTATTTTTTAAGAGGTACGAATAAGTATAAATTAAAAGAATATCATAATCGTAAGTCAAAATATATTGAACAATTACAAAAATGTCCAATGTGCATTCTTATCACTGAACTGCTGTTTGGATTTCTCTAATACGGAATAATTGATAAACTTTCTGACTTATTTTTAAAATAAATATTTGCTAAATAACTGTGGTACTCACCTCAACGATCTGATATTTTATCATGACCATACAGTTGATGAGCTCGTAAGACAACTTCCAGAGGCCAGACACGACCCCAAGCTGGACGTAGGAGTCGTTATCGTTGAGTAGCCATTCGACCAGGATCGTCACAGCTCCACGCTCGCCCAGCTTGAAGGATCTCTTCCGATCGTGCCCGCAACTGCCGAAGCATAATCCGATCGCGTAACGTAATCTCGGATGTTTCTGTGTTTTGAATACAAAGATAGGTATAATCCAATAATTCCAAGGATGGAATATGTTAAATAATAAAATTAATTATAAAATTATATAATATAATTGTAATTTTTTGGTTTTACATTTACTTTTTGCCAACCTACAACATATCGTTGGTGAAAAGTACATCTACTGTTGTCCAAGGACATTTTATATTCAATATGAACTTGGGAAGTTCGCAAGCTGTAGGTTCTTGCACCAGATGAAATATGATAAATCACTGAACATTATTAAGTGGCAATATCAGTCTTGTAGATTCGAAACGAAAGAAGAAAAATACCTTTTACTTCACATTTCTGCATAGTATTTTTTGAGGAATAACAATTTTCCTTTAAAACACCACATCAAGCTGAAAAAGTGAAATTCATAGAAATGGGTACATTGTTGTGCTTTTACAAATCCATACATGAACCACACAGTAAGGGAAAGTATTGCAATCGCCGAAAATTTTCGTATCCAAGCTTTTGATGAAAAGACATTTTCCTTTTTAGGTAGATTCCAATAAGAGTTTCTACAATCAGTATAATTGTTTACCGATGAAAACCCGACTAGATAAAACAAAATCTTTAAGCCCGTAAGGTCGTAGCTTGAAAATTCATTTTGTATGATTCTGTTTAGTATTTTCAAACTATTTAAGAGTTTACATCTTTATTAGTTTACTTTGCTTTTGCTGAAATGTATGCTTGATAAAGCAGTATTTTTTAACAAATCGGTATTGGATGGAATTTGATGAAATTGATACGGGACTATCGGCACCAACCTGCACAATCCTTGATGAAACGTAAAACGTGCAAATTTTCGATTCTGACCACATTTTTTTTTTTTATCTCCAGCAAGTATAAAGGTTCCTTACCTTCAGTAGTGAGAGAACAAAACATATAATTGGTATAATATAATATAATAATAAGTGGTCTTCAATTAGTTCCATTTAAAAAAAAAAAATTAAAAAAAATAATGTTAAATGACATTATTGGATTATTGAGGACTAGTGTTGCCCAAATGCGAGACCAAGACAAGTCTTGATCTTGCGCAAAAGTCTCGCAAAAGCCTTGCAGTTACCTATTAGTATAGAGATATTGCTGTAATAGGGGAAACCTAACTAAGACCGAATGAAAAATTGGAAGAATTAAATGCAAAAGTATATTGTTTTTACCAATTCTTTACATATTGTAACTAATATTGTCAAGTATTATTAACTATTTTGTCTAAATTTGTATTCACAAAAGCGAGTTTTTTACCAGACTTGGTCTCGGTCTTGCAAGAGTCAGGCGGTATTGGTCTTAGTCTGGTAAATTGGAAGACCAAGGCCGATTTCGGCCAACACTAATTATGACATAAAACGGCTCTTTCTACGTTAATACAATCAGCACACTTGGTACAAGCGGATCCAGCCGGGGTGCGCACGCCCTCTCCCTCCTCCGGGGAGATAGAAAAAAATCCTAAATGCCGCTATTTAAAGAAAAGAGAAATATAGGAAAAATTCGTCCTCATAGACGAATTTCCTAATGTAATAAAAAAATATATATTATCCAGACCAGCTCTAGCGATTTTCGCAAGAGGAGGGAGAGAGGCCACGCCCTCTCTTGGATGGGGGAAAATAATTCTGACAAAAAAGTTTCAAAAGACAGCTATTTAAAGAAAAGAGAAATACAGGAAAAATTCACAATTTCCAATATATCTGGACACATTGCAACCTCCAGCAACTACAGTTGTATATATAGTCTCCCTGAAGAATCCATGCGATTCATAATACTGATCACGACAATAATTTGAATATTTCTCATCAGAAATTTTTTTTATTTTCTTGAAATAGTTGATACTGGGAACTTTTTCTAGAAGGTAAGTAATAATTATTTGGTCTCCGATATGATGGGTATACGAATATGATTGAAGTTGGGATTTATTCTGATTTTTTTTCTCTTAGTGAACTTATTTTCAAACTGCAGGACCATTATGGTAATCTGTCTCAGTTTCCGACAAATTCGGTAAAAATTAGCGTTCGTGGGCATTTTTTATCGACCATATAACTTATAAAAATGATTAAGTATAGGTACTCGTTCGTCGTACAATTTACCGTTCTTTAATTTCTTAAAGAATACGTTTTTCGCTTAGATGCACTCTTTAGTAGTAATAGATTAAAAAAAGAGATCAGATAAGTCTGTATTTTTTGGCTGTAAATGTTTTCTCTCGGTGACTCGTGTCAGCAATTTTGTTTTTTACATGTCTAAAGCTATATACAGCGTGTCCCGTAAGTAGAGGGAATTATTTAAAGGAGTGATAGCAGACCTCAAGAGCTATAAAAAAGGTAAATTAAAAAATGGTTCGATTTTCAGCAGTAAAGTAGGAAATACATTTTTTTTTTTTAATAAATTATTAATAAAGTTTTTTTGTCGAATAAGAAGCGATAACTAAAAAAAATATTTATTTTAAGTAATGAACGATTGCTTCACTGTAAACTAGACAAAATTTACTTTAAATGAAAATAGAGTTTGCTAATTTTAAAACCATTTAAAGAGAACTTTTGAACGGCTAAAATCAGCTAAGGAGTGGGGGGGGGAAGGTTGCACCTGGTTAAGAGCTGTGCCCCCTCTGAGAACATTCTAGGATTCGCCGCAGCCCTTGGGTGCTCTTCGTAATGTTGAGAAGACAGTTTGGTATAATTTTTCTTAATTACAAAATGTTCTGTCACATGGCCTATGCCATAGTTCATGACAAAAAATATCCAGTCTATTTACAATAAGTAATTTCTATCACATTTATAATTCCTTTATATATTTAAGAAACAAGTTATGTGATGACAGCATTAAAAATTATTTGTATTTTATGTCGAAATTATTCGAAAGGATTGGATGTTTGATAACAAAATATGTATGTACTAAATTCAGGAATATACAATTGAAAGACATAGTGAATTCCAGTAGTGATTTTATTACCATGTTTTCCGAGCTCATAATATTTTGTGTAACGATCTCATCCAGGTTCTTACCACGGTCGTTCCCTTCTTTAGCCGCCGAATTTTCAAAGACGTGCCACAAGATCTTATGAAGTTTACTGGCCGTCCTCAGCGTCACATTATACAGATAGGCCCAAAAAATGAGGATAAAGATGGAAAACAATGCAGAGCCTTTGTAAAAAAAAAAAGATCCGCGGCCTCTCTTTTGTATAATTTTGCGCTTTTGTAAATATTTACGCCTCTGGATATTAAGGTCTTCGGCAATTTTGGCCTGGATAGCCCGCAGTTTGAGTGTTATAGCCTTCAACGGGTAACAGCTTACGGCATTTAATGATACGGCCCGCTAGCTCAGCTCATCTCAAGTCCTATCGATAACACGATTTACAAATTCGGTCGCTTAAATCGATCACTGCTCTTTAACAAAAAAAAAAAAAAAAAAAAAAATACTTAGACATAATTATAAGATCAGTTTTCCATAGATAATTCATGATTTGTTGCAACATGCAATTAATAAGTTGTTATAATACAATACAAGTTGTCTCTGAGAACATTTACTTTGCAATAAAAATAATAGATACTCTATCCACGAACAAATATTCAGAGAGAAAAGTAAACAACAAACCAAACTTCTTAACAACACCTTAACACACGCGCACATCACGCCCTTATTTAAAATTACTCCTGCATTATAGTAATATGGAGGGTAATCTTATTATCTTTAAGGTGTTGAAGAAGACGGAGGTGGAATGGCAAAGCGGTCTAACTAGTGCACACAGCAATGTGCGTTGCCCGGCAACCTGATAACCGAAGTTTTGAGATAAATAAATACTTATTACCAATCATTATAGATTGTAATGGGAGATCGAATCCCGGTGCTCGGTGAAACTCACCACATTCCCCCGCCCTCTCCTCCGGTCCAGAAAAAACAACGTGTAGCCTAAAAAGCAAGAAGGGAGAAAAAAAAAAACTGTTGAGATATGTGTACAGACAACTGAAATTTACGCTCGAGATGAATATGCATTACTGTCAATTCCGGAAGTGTGACTAATACAGATAGTTTCAAGATCAACCTCTATAGCGGAACGGTGGGAAAAGGCGTCTCTTAAGAGTGTATCGAAGTCCAAGCTCCTTCAAGTATATAATATTATAAAACTTGAGGAAATTTGTGAACCATTATGAGGACAGCGACAAGTACTATAATTTTAAATAAAAAAGCTTGGAGTATTGCCGATAGTGCTCTCTGCTTTTTGAGGAAGCTCAACCAACCAGAAAAATTTAAGACTTCATAGTTGCCTACCAGTTCTGTCCCGGGTTACGATTGACGTCTTGGAAATGAGAAGATTTACCAGGAATGGTCGAATAGAAATGTACAGCCATGAAAAGTAAAGAAGTGCTTAGCCTTGCATGGAGATGTAAAATTGTGATTATGCTGAGTTGTGTTCTACTTTATTTAAATAAAACATTTTATGCTTATCATAATTTTATTTATAAGCTCGTACCCTCACTCGAGGATTTAGAACCTAGTATCAGAAAAAAACACACACACACACACACATACACACTCAAATATATAAGTTAAGTGTAACGGACTTACAACAGTTAAAAAAAAAGGAATAGGTTCACGAAATGAAACGCATGAAGTCGGAATCAAGACTGGTTCATTGTTCCTTCTAATCCTCTATATATACTGTCTAAGGTTATTTACATCGGTACGTTTGGTATTACCGCTAATACTGTGTCATTCCGTACCCTAACTTATATTTAAATAAATATAAACATATAATATATTTAAATAAAAAAAAAAAAAAAAAAATATATATATATATATATATATATATATATATATATAAACATGTATATATATTATAAACATTGTGAGTATGTGAGCAAAAGATGCGTATCTAACAGAAATATATGTTAATACAAGCATCTTTGCCCTTGCAAAAATATATTCCATGTTCCCTTTTAGTTTTAGTTTGTTTTTCACAGATACCTTTAACAATAGCATTAGGCCCTTTTTAGCTTATAAGGGACCGGAATGTCAGGTAATGCGATTTCAAACTTTTCTTTCTTTGCCTGACCTTTGTTTTTACTTTATCTTTGTTTATGCCCTTTGGCTATTTCAAATATAAACGTCACAATAATTTGTTAATAAATCTTATAGTCCGTGGTTCAGACATCCTTTTATCAAATTATCAACATCCGCCCGAAACTTATAGTTTCATCTCATCGTAACCTACAAATATTTTATTTACGAAAATTCTCGGAATCGGAGCCTTTTCAATCTGGAGATTAGCAAACTTTGTTTATCTAATTAGGCACTAAATGCCTACTTGCTTTCCACTTAAATCGTAAGATAGTTTAAGAACAAAGTCGAGAAAACAGATGGCCTTAAAAAATATTGAGCCATTTGGCGTGATCTTCACTCCGAATTGTAAAAATAACGAGGTTATATAGGCCAAACTTATTAAATTATCTCACGATCCATGTGGAAAGCAAATGGGTATTTACGAATTTTTAGTACCTAATTAAACAGGCAATGTTTGCCGATCTTCAGATTGAAATGTCCCAAATCGTTGTAGGTTACGATGAGATGAAGCTATTTACGAAGTTTCAGGCGGATGTTAATAATTTGATGAAAAGGGGTCTGTACTACGGACTGACATACCAATCATGAAGACTAGTTCAAATAAACTAAAATTGTTATTGTGGTTTCTTAAAAATTATTATTAGAGTGTTCTTCATGATATGTTTTACCGAAAGAAAGTTTCTTAACTTTTGAAAAGATTAATATTTTTCTTTAATTATGAACGTGTAACATATCTGTTTTATTTATTATATTCAAAATATACCTCATTATTGAAAATAATAAACAAAAATGTCAAACTTTTTCAAATGATGTCATAGTTTAACATTTCTTAGTGGAGTGAAGGAAAATTATGGAACCAACTAATTTTTTCTTATAAACAAGTGAAAGTGCTCTGCACCAAGAAGGCACAGGAGGAACAGAAAAAGACGGTGGCCAAACCTAACGAAAGATTATCAAGATAAAGAAACACAAAAAAATTGTTATTGTTAATGTTTTTGATAGAAATAGTGTTCTGTGGTGCAGATACGCGTTACATCCCTTTGCTGCTGATACCAACATTAATAAATAGAAGTCATTGTCTAACAGTTGTGCACTGAAAAGTTTAATCTCGATTTTCAAATAAAATGTCTAGACCGACAAATAAAATGAGTGTAAGCAGACTTACAGCAGTTTTGGATAGGTCGAAGAGCCTGTCTATGAAGCCAAGCCTGGCTAAGATGTCGAGGTTCTCCTGCTCACAAGCCATCCTCGACAGGAGTGTGAGTGCCCCTGCTTTTGCACCGTCGTCTTCGTTGTAAGTCAAGCTCATGAGGTCGAAAACTCCTCCGTCGATCCGTCGAACTGTGTCGTGGGATCCCTACAAAAGAGGAGTATCTAAAAACCTATATATATATTCGCTTACACTGCACACAATTTCTAATAAGAAAACCTGTATCATAACATTTTCTTTACGATTTCGTAAAATTGAATTTTGCTGAATATCATTTTAAATATAAAACACTGCAAATTTTTCACACTAGTTTATTATTTCCAAGCTATTATACATCTAAAGTAGCAATAACTTCCTAGTAACATAAAGAAAAAAATAAATAAAAGGTGATTCCTGTTATTGGCCAAACCATTTTTGTTTTATTAGTTATTTGTTAAAAAAAGTAGCATTGCTTCAGTAACACTTTAAAAAATTAAAAAAACAAAACAAAGGGTATGTCCTTTGCAGTAGAATATATAAAAAATATCTAGATACCATATCTTGGCTCCAAATTGTCCGATTTTAACGATTTTTTTAGAAAATTTAGTTATTCGGAGATATAATTTTACCACTCCTCGTAAACTTTTTCCAGCTTCTTTACCCTGAAGTATGTTATATAGGCAATTTTAAAGGACATCGAGAAGAAGACTTAGCGAAGTTTCATTGAAATCGGTATATTCTTATAGGCTCTACAGTCGATAGTAGCACAGGTTTTTTCGGCCGCTATCTTGAAAGGAAAACGCGGATAGTAATGTCGGTGTAGGAGGATCATCCTCGGGTGACCTCTGACTTTAAATCTAACTTTGAATTAAAATCAGTCCAGTAGTCTCGAAGAACATTCGCGGACGGCAGACGGACAAGAAAATTTGTATTCGATTTTCGCAGTCTACGTATCCTGAATCTTAAAACCTCAAATTTTGAGGGGGGTTAAGCTTTTTAATATTTTGGACGATTATCATGGTTCATTATTAAAAATAATAAACCAAAAAATAAAATGGGTGATAAATATTCAGGACGCAGTCTTTAAAAAAAAATTTAATTTTTTATTTGTGCCAACGTTTCAACCCAAACATGTGGGTCATCTTCAGGGCGTGGTTCGAGCACTGAATGCTCGAACCAACTGCTAACTCTAGTAGCATTCACTGCTTGAACCACGCCCTGAAGATGACCCACATGTTTGGGTTGAAACGTTGGCACAAATACAAAAATTAATTTTTTTATTTAAATGACTGCGTGCTGAATACTTATTATTCATGATATGTAGAATAGTCGACTAGCTTACTTTAAAAAAAAGCTTCGATTTTATCGGAACCCTTTCAGTCGAAAGTTACCGATTCATTTTTGAAATATCGGATTTCTAAAACAAAATAATCCCTAAATACATATTAGATTTTAGGCATGTTACATTGAAGTTAAACTTTACTCTGTAAGGCACAGGTGTCTTGGCCCCTGGAGTGGAGTTTAAAAACTAACTTTTAAAGTACCACTTAATCATTGTTTGGAGTTGTTCAGGTTTATTCAGCAATAGAATGACTAGCATTACTGAGAGCTTCTGCCTTACTGAAATATTTTACTATTTCTTCATATAGACAATTAGGTGAAAGTAGGAAAATTGATAGTAATATTTTAATAAGTCAAACTATTTTTTTCCTTATAATAAAACTTTAATTTTGATCCGTCATTCGTACTGTATTTTTCAGTTCAGACAATGTTTCAGCCCTTTGAGCCATTTGCACTGAGAAAAAAAAAATTAATTCAAAACCACTTGGGCTAATTTGCATATGTCACATCTTTTTGTATAATCCAATAGAAAATGTGATATAGGTTTATAATGTGATATAGCCCATTTCTTTTTAAATTTTGAAATTGTTTTCACTTGAGAATTGAAGTAAGAATCATGAATAAAATATGATGTTTTATTATTACAAATATATTCGTCTTAACCAACTATATTAAAATATATATTAATTACTTTTTTTTTTAATTTAATAAAAATTTGGACAGGAATGAGGTAGATTGAGTAAAAACATCCTACAAAGTGGGATTTATTTTTGAGGTAAATTTACAGATTTTCCTTTCCGATACTTTGATTTTTCTACGGTCAACAAGATCCACACCATGCGTTTTGTCTATTTATCTATTTAACGACGTTTTAAAACCAAACTCGGCCCTTAATGAGTTATGTAAACGCCAAAATATATCAATAATAAGGACTGCAATATTTATCTATCAACATAAAAACTATCAACATTTATCTTTCAACTTCTAAATAGTATGAAACGGAAAACTGCTACGAATCTAGATTATTAAAAAACTTATTATAATTAATAAATCAAATTACAGGTATGGGCCCTATATATGGCACCAGGGCGGAGCAACCGTATTCAATACATCTTGGGTTAGGATTCGTCACTGCAGCCCACAACAACGGTATGATTTCTAGCCTATCGGCCACCCACCAGTATATAGTTGGAACGTATGAAAGTTCCATTACAATCTGGAAATATATATATTTTTTAAGAGAGATATTTCTAAAATTGTAACATATCATATACAAAAACTAATAATCTATTTATTTATATTTAAATAGAGATAGTTAAAAAAGTTTTGTTGACAATTTATCTCTAAAACCATACATGAAAATAAGAAATAAGTTAGTTAGCCTTACAAGAAGTTAAAAATAAGACATTGATATAAAACATTAAAACTTGGTTGGATGAGAAGCACTGGGACCTCTTGGAATTCTGCTTTGCTTTTCAAATTTGGGAGTTAAAGCTTGACTCAGACTCCTCTGGGTGAATATGAATATTCTACTCAGTTGTGAATGTGTTTTCTTTATTTTAATTTCACTCAACTTAAATCTATTATTTTATTTATATTTTTTTATAAAGAATTACTATTCTTTTTTTCTTATTTATTTTTTATTTAATAAAATAGTAAAAAATGAACTAAAGGAAAAAAGTAAATAACATAATAACAAAAAAAGTGTAATATAAAAATAATAAGATAGCAATTTTATTTTTCTTTTGTTTTGTTCTATTCTCAATGATATCACGTGTATTCCTTAATATCATATTTGCTCATTACCATTATATATATAGAAAATTTTTATTTACAGAAATATGTTTCAAACTTGAGAAAAAAATACTGTTATATTTACTTTATTTTAATTATTTATATTTATTTCCTTATTGTAGCCCTAAAACATAATGCCCTTCAATGTGGCAGGTTGATCTAATATTAAATAAACTAGTATAAAAAGAAATGACTTAAAAATAATAATGAATAAAATAATAATGAAAAGAAAGAGCTTTTTGACCGACGGAATAATCAACGGTGTTAGCCACATTTTTTGCCTGCATTATAAATCCTATACCTTCCATAAGACCGGCACAGCAAGTTTGTAATGCAGCATTGCCTATAGCGCGGCTAAACGTAGGTGTAAACAACAGTAATTTATTACCAGTATTCAAACATCTTTTTCGTCAGTTTTTCATTATTTTGGTACTGAATAATAAATATTTTAATAAAATTATCGATTCACACTGCTACTGCTAAAAACAAAATGTTCACTTATTTTTAGTTAATTGATAAATTATTCTATGTTTCATTATAAATATACATTTATTAATACAGAAAAAATTTCATTTTTTTACTTTCATATAAAGTTTACTTTAAAAATCAAACTTAGATAGAAACAGAATATACACACTAAACTGCGTAAGACCATTTGGACCTATGCTTTACAAATACAAACGGTCAAAAAGATCCACATACGTTAACTTAAAACTTTTCAATCAAAAACTTTCAGGGCTATAACCTTTCTGGTAAGTTGGAAATATCACTTCAAATAAAGACATACAAATTCCAACAATTAACAACCACATACGAACGCACTAAGATTCCACAATGACTTAAACGGACATACCAACTCGCTGATCCAAGTCACGACCACAACCAACATACCCGATAATCTCTTCCATTAACTTCTTCTTCTTCTTCTTCTTTAGCTTTCCTCTTTAGTGCTTTTCAGCGTAGAGGAGCATTCAGCCAGCAATTCCATTCTTCCCTATTTCTCGCTAGATTCCTCGCCTGTCGGATGTCCTTCTCCCTCGCCCTACAGAGTAACACAATGTAGTCAATACAGAACATTCTAGGGCGGCCCCTAGGCCTTCTGCCGTCTGGCCGAACCAGCTTAGCTGACGATTTTCTGGGATCTCTTTTAGTGGGGATATCTGCTTTATATATACTTTCATCGCGAAATCAGTCTCTCCTTGTTTTCCCAACCGTCCTTCGCAGAAATTTCATTTCGGCAGTGGTGAATTTGCTCTCCTGTCGGTCTGCTAATATCCAGCTCTCCGCTCCATGCAAAAGTATGGATAGATATACCTTCTTCAAGATGTGTAGCTTGACGTCTTTGCCTACTTCTCTCTTCCCTACTACAGTGTTACATGTAGTACATACTGGTAGTAAACTGTATTTGCCTTATTAATCCTGTGTGATATTTCCTCGCCTCCCTTTCCAGATCCGTCTATTACTTTACCCAGGTATGTGAAGTCTGTCACCACTTCTAATTCTTCTCCAATACAGTATATGTGACTATCTTCCTACTTTCTTCCGACTTGTAGGATCTTACTTTTGTTGGTATAATTGCCATAATTGCCAATTGCAATTTTTCCACTGAGTCCGTAATCAATACCACGTCGTCGGCGTAGAGGAGAAGCTGTATCACTACAGAATTAAGATTCATACGTCCCAGGAATGTCCTGTCCGTTCTTCTCTTACAAATGGATGCCACTTCATCCATGAATAACAAGAACAACAATAGGCTTAGGCTATTTCCTTCTTTCATCCGCTTTGCAATATTGAAACAACTTGATTCTAGCCCGTTCAGCCTGACTATTCCTTTGCACTCTTGATATATAGATTTTATCGCCTCTGTCAGATTTCTCGGGACATTTTTCTATCTGAGAGCTTCCCATATTTCATCACGTCTAACCAAGTCAAAGGCAGATTTTAGGTCAAGGAAAGCAAGGTACATATTTGTATCAAGGTTCCAGGATTTCTGTAGGATATTTCTTAATGAGAAAATATGGTCATGGGTTCGGCGCCCGGGTCTGAACCCAGCTTGCTCTCCTCCTATTAGGTGCTCAACTAGTGGTCTTAAGCGACCCACCAATATGGATGTATATAGTTAGTACGAAACTGGCGAAAGGCATATGGGTCTGTACCTAGAGCATTCTGCCTGACATCCTGTCTTGTGAATTGGTATTATAATATTATATTCCTAATCCATTGGTATCCTTTTTAGATATAAGGCAATGTGATTGGAATTTTCCAATTTTAACCTAACATTGAATTTCTGTCTGTTTGTGGGTTTTTACTAATTTATATTTTATTATTGTTTATGAAGGAATTGCTAAGAAATGCAGAGAAACAATATCTTTTTTGATAAACGTATAACGCACGCCACTATGCAGTCAATCCAATTCTTACCACCTCTTCCAAGCTCACTCTTATTTCAAGTTTTTCGCTAAATATGAATCTCTAATTTAATTGACTTTTCCTTGTAAATTCATAATATCAAATACAATTATAAAAATGCTAAAATTGTATCACATATGTTTACAACAGGAATATTGGGGGTTGACTAAGTTTCATCCACAGTGAATTATAAATCCGAAATCTACTAGCATGACATATCGCCCCGACAGAAGATTTGTACTTGAAACACGAGTGTTAGACAAAAGAGAACTACTTGGTGCAGTCTATTGTAAAGTTTCCTGGACGCCACCTACGAGAACAATGCCTTCAGTAATTTAAGAGAAGTTGAGATATCATTATTGTGACAAGGTTATTTCTAGGCAGAGAGGTGATGATGACCAACTTCGCAAATAAAAGAACAAAAGAGTAATTTAGTTAAAACTTAACTTAAGTAAGTCTACTAAAATTTAATTAATTAAAAAAGTTATTTTAAAAATAGATATACCTTATAAACATGAGCAAGTAAATCATAATCCAGTAGATTTTCACACATATCAATTAGCCAAATAAGACCTAAATTTTGTTCTCCGATCAAAATGTCGTGGTTGTCCTCATATCTGCTCAGCTCTGCTACTATTCGACCTGAATATTCTCTCACCTGGAAAGAAACAAATACTTTACATACATTTATATATATATATATATATATATATATATATATATATATATATATATATATATATATATATATATATATATATATATATATATATATATGAGATGTTAGAAACCAATAACAGATTTTATTTATTTTACAGGCACCTTTCATCATAAAACATAACATAATATATAGCATATAGCATTATATAGCATTATTATATAGCATAGCATATAATTGTACAAAAATGAAACCATCATGTTAATAACATTACCATAGTTTGGGAAGTATTGAGAGTTAATAGCAGGGGCGGACTAGTTTATAAGCCAACTGAATTAAAATATTGTGGAATACAGATTTTGGAAATTAATGAAAATATTCAAATTACTCTCCATTAAATGTAAGAAGTAAACTGATTGGGAGTATAAAAAAAAAAAAAAAAACCTTTTCAACCAAATATTTGAATTATTATTTCTTTGATGTAAAATACAATTAATACTCAAACTATAGTCCATTGGTATCTAACGTCATTAGCCATCTGCTAGATCCCACACTGATACCATTCTTTGGGATGGCTGTCAAAGAACTCTTGGACCGCTATTTCAACTTCCGCAAAACTATCAAATTTTTTTTCGTTGAAGAAAAGGGGCCATGGAACTAAATAAGTAGTTATCCGATGGTGCGAGGTTTGGACTAGTGGTTAGCAATATATATTGCGAGGTTTGGACTTGGCGGCTAGCAATATATTTTGACACACCACACTCCCTGGCAAGTTCGCGAGTGTTTGTGGACGGATTTGATTCACCCGCTTCTTGAAGAACCTCACCAATATCCATTATTAGTCGCCTGAAAGCCTTGTCCCTTTCCAACGTCATTTCTTCACAGCTACATTTTTCAAAATAACGCCGCACAGTGCTCTGGTTAAGGAAACTTTCCCCTTCATATTTAATAATTTCACGAGTTGCTTAAGGGACTATGAATTTTTGTTCTAGCGATGCCTTAAAATTACAAGAATTTCGTAGGAAACTCATGTTTTTTCTTGGAAACAAATAACTAAACTAAGAAGTCAAATGTTATCAAATAAACATAGAGAATGCTCTGAAGGGATTATTGAGTATCTGTATGTATTAAATATGATTAAAATAGATACAGTAATTTGAAACCTTGAATTTAATATAACGGTCATTTTCGTATACACCCTATAAATTTAAAAGTACAAAGAGATAAATTTTTTCATAACTAATAGGGCGCATTGCGCTGAAAAGTTAATAATTAAGAGCTAAAATATTACCAGTGGGTTCGTGTGCTTGAAAAGTTGCAGCAAACCAGGTATCAAGTCACTCTTGTGCATCATCATTCGGTATTTTTTTATTTTTAGAAATCTAACTAAAGATGCCAGCGTGTGTTTCAGTTGTTTTCTATGGCCCAGTGTTTTCAATTGCTTGATTTGAAATTCTACTAGACCATTTGATAATAGATAATACCTGCATTGTTCGTCATCCAGGCACTAAAAATGGAACTAAATTATTAAATCATATTCTAGTGTTGCAATTTCATTTATAAGGATTTCAGATGAAATATTATAGAATATTAATCAGATCTCTATAAACTATTTAGAAAATAAATAAATAATACTAAAACCTACCAGACCAAAATCTTGAGGAAAACTTGGTCGTTAATTTTTATACATAGATTTGATATTCTCTTGCTTCAGCGCTTTCGTTAACTTCGAATCGATGACCTTTTTAAATTAAAATTTAGTTTTTTTATGTTATGAATATATTTTTTGAGATTTTGCTGATGCACTGTTCAAATATAAGATTGCTCAGACTAATTTAATGGTATCTCCACTTTCCATCGGTAAATGTTGAACTTGTAAATGTTGAATGTCTTAAAGTGATGTAACATTACTTTATTTCTTTACTTTTTACTGTTAATATATTTTTTATTTTTATTTTTTTATTGGAAGAATAATAATACAATCAAGGGTATTGGGTAATAAGGCTCTATATGTACATCCATACAATTATATGCAAATTGAGAAAAAAAGAAATAAGAAGAAAATATGTAAGTAAAAAATATATACAAGAACAGAATAATAAAAATATAAAATACTTGAGAAAGATAAGAAAAGAGCACACTAAAAAGATACAATGTTAGATGTTAGGGTTTTCAGACTGCATTGATAGAATCTTATTTTTTCAATTGGTAGGGACTGTGTTATAGAATATTATGAATTTTTTTTTTATTTTAGTTATTATTATTTAATTATTTATTTATAGTCGATTAGTTTCAAGTATGCATTGAGAAAATCAGTACTCAATATTGATAGCTAGTGGCTGACGAGCTCAAGAGGAGATGAAAACAGAAATATGAAAATAAGAGAGTAAGCAGTTTTTTTTTATTTGCTGTTTGAAACTAGAAAAAATTAAATTAGTTGATTGATTAACACATAAAAATAGATTTGATATTTAAAATTAATTCTTTATTTAAATTAACAATACAAAAAATAAATAAAATGAAGGGGTTTAACAAAAGTTATGAACTTCGTTGTTTCTACATGTACATATTATTTTACTAGAAAATGATTTCATATAATAAACACTAATACGAACTCATATAAATTCTTACCATAAGTTTCGTGTTTAATTGTTAATTGAATTATTACATGGTTACCTTATTGATTGTTTTTAGCATCATAATTGCATCTGGAGTTTCTGGTTTTTTTAACTGATACGTGTCCAGAGTGTACTTCATAAAATCTTCCAGGATGAAGATTTGTTGGTAAAGTTTCTGTTAAAAATAATCAAGATAAAAGTGATGAAATTAAAATGGTTAAATTTATCATTAGAAAAGTTTGCCCTAGCATGTGTGATATTCAAAATATATATATATTTTGTATATATGGTTTGGTTTTATTTAAGCTTGTAAATATATTATTTAATAAACCATTTTGTTGAGTTTACCATCTACCCTGCATGCCATCAATTAGTAATAGAAACAAACAGTAAATTTAAAAACAAGATACCTCAAGAAAAGAAATCCAATAAACATTATATGGTTCAATCTAGGATACTACAGTAGGGGGTTTGAGGTATCTAACCTTTAAATATATTTTATTACAAATAAATGCGGTTCCTGGAACCCCCTACTTGCCGTAGAAACGCGAGACCAGGAACACAGCAATATATCAGTGTTGCTGTTATTTATCTCAAGAAATATATAAGTCTATTCATTCATTGTGTACTTAATAAAAAAAAATATATTCTTACATAAATACGGTTAAAAATCACAAACACGTTTCATAAAGTTCAACTCCATCAAAAATGTACTTAGAATTAGTGATTTTTTTGTAGTGAATCAACGGTATGTATTTCGGCACACTGTGATCAGTGCGTCATTTCTTTAAATTAAAAACAATAAAAATTGTTTTCTTATGTACTCCACTGATCCAACATAGTTATAATGTATCTCATCGAGGCACAGGGTGATTTAATAATAAATAATTTATGCGCCCCCCAATATGATGATAAGTGAAAGTTTTCTGTTAGTCTGTCTACACCACATATTCTGGTACCACTATTTTTTTTGTTATACATTTTTCAACTACGATTTATTCTTGTTCTACCCGTGGAACATAATATTAACAGTTTATTAAAATGCATCTGACTTACACAACTTGATGCTTCGTAGACCATCTGAAGTCCAATATCCTTAAAGAACTTATTGCGCGAGTAAATGATCTTTTTTAGGAGCCTGACAAAGCCCAACTTGTAAAGGGCGATTCTCACAAGCCTGGACCTGTGCGTGTTCTTGATGGTCAATAAACAGTTCTTTGCTGCGGTGTATATCTTTAATTCGACGTCATCTGTGATGGCTGATTCTGGCATGTTGTAATATTTGTCTGGAAGTTCAGCTATCTCCAGCTGTCACAAGAAAAAAAATAAACTTGTTTAGCAAAAATAAGAAATAAACCTGTGTACTAAATTATAATGCTTATCATACAATTAGTATACATATTTTCTTATTTTATTGAATTATTTCCGGTAATGAATCTTTTTAATACTTGGTACAGACTCCTTTTTATCAAATTATTAACATCCGGCTGAAACTTCGTAAATAGCTTCATCTCATCGTAACCTACAAATAATTTATTTACGAAAATTCTCAGAATTGGGGCGTTTTCAATCTGGAAATCGACAAATTTTCTCCATTTAATTAGGCACTAAAGCTCGTAATTACCCATTTCCTTTCAACTTGAATCGATATTTAACTTGAGCACAAATTCGAGAAAAAAAGGTGGCCTTCAAAAATATTGAGCCGTTTGGCCTATACAATCTCGTTATTTTCACAATGTGGGGGTGAAGGACATGCCAAACGGCTCAATATTTTTTTAAGGCCACCTTTTTTCTCTACTTTGTGCTCAAGTTATCTTACGATTTAATTAAATGGAGAAAGTTTGCCGACCTCCAGTTTGAAATGCGCCATTTACGAGAATTTTCGTAAATAAAATATTTGTAGGTTACTATGAGATATTGTTATTTACTAATTTCCAGCCAATTATTAATAATTTGATAAAAAGGGGTCTGTACCACGGCATATTTCAATTGACGAAGAAAAAAAGTGATTAACCTTTCCTCATCAAAATTTGTGGTTTTACGTTCCAAGATACTTAGAATCAGAAAAGCGAATAATAAAAAATTCGTTCGTCCGCAGCCCGCGACTTTTCTCCGATACTACTGCACTGATTGTTAATAAATTTGTTATCATTGACATTTCCATTCGTCATTTCGTTTTAAGATGGCGCTTAAAAGACGTGTGTCGATATAGAATGTTGCACCAAAACTGTTGTTACGATTTTAATGAAACTAGCCTGAAACCTTTTCCTTGAATTCCTTTATATTTATGTATACAGGGTGTCCTGTAAGTAGAGAGAACATTTTATAGGAGTGGTAGGAGAATTCAAGGCCTACAAAAAAGTTCATATGAACAATGAGCCAACTCTCAGCAGAAAATTAGAAAATCCAAGGTTAATGTTTTTTTAATTAAGTCATGCTTTTTGATGAATAGGAAGCGATAACTAAAGAAATATATAATTTATGTAATTGAAAATTGTTTCATTGTAAACAAGATAAAATTTTCTTTATATGAAAATAGAGAAATAGAAATAGAAATGACCTTTGGGTGACTAAACTTGGCTAAGTACGGTTTTTTAAAAAAATCATAAATTATTAGCGATATTTTTTATCACTATCCAACTGTACTAAAAATACCCCACTTTTAGAAAAACTTCTTTGTTTAATAATATTCAAGTCCATATTAATTAAATTGAATTTTATCTGTCAAATTCTTGAGATTCATATCAAGTTGTGTAAAGAAATGTAGGTATTTTTCATCTTGTCAAAAGTACCTGTGTTTTCACGAATATTGACTACAATTAACAGTTAGCTATGAAAAAGGAAAGATCTTACATATTATTTTTTTCATGATCTGGGATTTATATTGATAAAAATAATTGCCTTAATACACTTTTTATTTATAATAATATTTTTTTAAATTTTCTTTATTTTATATTTTCTCCTAGATCTCTCTCATGGAAATTGACCCGTATTTATAAGTGACAGGTTTAATATTTCTAGTCCTAAAATTTACGTTTAAAACAAAAAAAACAAAAAAAAACATGCTGATTGCTTCAATTATTTTCATAAAAACATAAACATAAGAGCTAGCTAGAATCATGAAATTCGTTACTTATAAATACGGATCAACACCTATGAAAGAGATCTGGGTGAAAAATACAGTTTCTTAAATACTTTACATGAAAAGTATTTTTTTTTTTTTTTTTTTTCCTTTTTCTCGCCTCTACCCTAAAGGGTCATTGGCGTTTTCTATGATTTATACTCTGTTATAGTAGTTTACAATTTTTAAAAAATTTAACACTATCGAGACTCTTTCTTCATTGTCTTTTAGTATTTCTTTTAGTGTTTTATCTAGTTCTATTTTTTCTCTGAGCCTTTCGAAATGGGAACATTCTACTAGAAGGTGTATCAGAGTTTGCGGTGTATTGTTACATTTCTCGCAAGTAGAAGCTTCTAGACCTCTTAAAAGATAGCCATGAGTGAACTGGCAGTGCCCAATCCTTAGGCGGCATAGTATAATTTCTTCACGCCTAGACTTTCTGTTGCTAGTGATCCATTTATCGCAATTGGGTTTCACTTCTTTCAGCTTACACTCTTTGATCCTCCACTCTTTTTCCCACTCTGCCAGTTGTTTTTTCTTTATTTCGTGTACCCAGTCTTCTAAAGTGATATATTTCACTCTAGTCACTTCCTCTTCTTCTCCTCCACTTCTTGCTAAATGGGCTGCATTGTCAGCATTTTCATTTCCTAAAATTCCGCAATGAGCTGGTACCCATACCAATACAACTGTTATTCCTTTATTTTTTAAATCCCACCAGATATTGAGTATTTCACTAATTATGGAGTTTTTAGGATATGGATTGTCAATGGCAGTTAAAACGCTGTATGAGTCCGTCACAATTACCCAGTAGTTCTTTTCAGTTTCGCTTATAAGATATAAAGCATTCATGATGGCAGTGGCCTCTCCTGTGAATACTGAACATTCTCCAGGTAATTTAAACAGTAATTGTTTCTCTTTACTCGCTAAAGCACATCCTACGCTACCTCCTTCTTTGGATGCATCCGTATATATAAAATCGAAATTTTTATATTGTTCCGTTAGCTTTAAAAAATATTTTTGTATTTCAAGCGGATATGCCTTTGCAATTTTAGTCATAGATTTATTAATAAATGGTCTATCTTTTTTCCAACGCGGCATTTTTAATTCTGGGATGGGTCTTATAATGGTCGTATCCATGTTTATTTTAGTTGTTGCATTGTAAATTGCTTGTTTAAAAATGTTATTTTCTATATTTCTAAGTCCGTTTCTTTCTGATTCTTCTGAAAATAAATATGGAGTTAATGGGTGGTAGGAAGATGCTTTCAATTTGGCAATGTATTTCAGAGATAGGTATTCTCGTCTCAAGTTTAAGGATGTTTCTCCAGATTCAACGTAGATGCTGTCGATTGGAGAAGTTCGAAACGCTCCAGTGCATATTCTTAGGGCTGAATTGTGTATAGAATCTAACATCCTCAATATTGTTTTGTTGGTTGTACTATATATCTGCGCTCCATAGTCTATTTTGCTGCGTATTATAGACTGGTATATTTTTATTAGAGTGCATCTATCGGCACCCCAGCTAGAGTGTGAGAGACATTTAAGAATTCCGAGTCTTTTTGTGCATTCTTCCCTCAAATATGTAATATGTTGTATCCAATTCAATCTCTTATCAACTATCATTCCTAGATACTTGTGATTTTCTGTATATTCAATTGAGGAACCTTCTATAAATATTTGTGGATTATTCTGCTGACACTTTCGACTTCTACAAATGTGTAAATATTTAGACTTCGAAGATGATATCTTAAATCCAGTTTCCCTTGTCCAATCCTTTACTCTATTCATCACTTCTTGCAGCCTCCACTGTATATAGGGAATAGATTTGCTTTTGGCTGTGATAACAATATCATCGGCAAATAGAAAACATTTGGTCGGGGTCTTGATAATGGACCCTATACTATTAATCGCAAGAAGGAATAGGGTCGAACTAAGAGGAGATCCTTGTGGGGTACCCCTTTGTAAGCGATGGTTTGACGAGAAAGTATTTCCTACCCTTACTGAAAATTCCCTACCGGTTAGAAAATTTTTAATGTAATACCACATATTTCCTCCTATTCCTAGTTCTTCCAAAATCTTCAACACACGTCCTCTTTCCATTGTGTCATAAGCTTTTTCAAGGTCCAGAAATATTGATATTAAGTGTTCTCCGTGTGAAAAAGCTTCCTGCGCTTCTAAGCTTAATGATAAAAGAGAATCAATAGTTGAACGATTTGGCCTAAAGCCAAATTGGTATGGATAAAGGACATTCTTACATTCCAGCATACTAGTCAATCTTATATTGACCATCCTTTCTTGAATTTTGGAAACGCATGAGATAAGGGAAATGGGCCGATAGTCCTTGGGAACGGTGCTCTTTTCTTTTTTTGGTATCGGTACTATGACAGATTTCCTCATCTTAGTTGGAAATGTTCTGCTTGTCCAAATTTCGTTATATATATTTAAAAGATATATTTTCCCTGCTTCTGGTAGCTGCTTTATGAACTCTCCTGGAATTTCATCGAGACCAGGAGCTGATTTTCCTTTGCACTTATTAAGCGAAGAATTTAGTTCATCTAGTCGAAATGGTCTATTGTATTCAGCAGAGTGGCTCTGCCCAGAAATGCAATTTTGATGCATTTCATGATCATTTATCGCGTCATCGCTACAGCTTGAGGAAGATATTTCTCTGAAATATTTTCCAAAGGCTTCAGCAATGTCCTGTGGATCCGTTATGATCTGTTCGTCAATATTAAGTCCTGAAATTAAGTTTTGCTTCCTAATTCCTCTGATGGCTTTGATCTTGTTCCATATCTCATTCGTCGGGGTAAGGTAGTTTATGGAAGAAACATATTGTTTCCACGATGCTCTCTTGCTTTCTTTGATTATTCTGTTTGCAATAGATCTCAGTCTCTTGAACTCGATTGCATTTTCAACAGTTCTACTTCTTCTGTATCGATTTAGGGCTCGTTTCTTTGCTCTTATAGCTTCATTGCAATTGTGATTCCACCACGGTACATCATGAGGTTTCATATTATTTTTGACTGTAGGAATAGTTTCTTTTGCTGAGTTAATAATTAACTCGTTAAAATAAAATATTTTCTCTTCTAAATTCTGTCCATATGGTATGGTTCGTAAGCCTTGGATAATCGATTTTTTATAACCTTCCCAATTTGCTTTTTCATATTTCCATCTGGTGTTCGATGGCATA